CAATCATGGTAGCCAGGGAAAGGTTTGTTTGGATAAAACTACTGGGGGTTCCCTTACGTGTGTGGGGGGTGGAGTTCTTTTCCACTATCTCTTGTTTTTGGGAAAATTCTGTTTCTTCGGATGAAAGTACTAGTTCGATGAAACGATTTGATGTGGCTAAAGGGCATGTGTCCAACTCTCAGATGAATCATATTTCAAAAACAATCAGAATTAAAGTGAATGACCAATTTTTTAATATCTTATGTAGAGAAGAAAAGGGAAGCAATGGGTTCTTCCCTCTAAAATCAGATTATAGAATGGTCAATCAATCAATATCTGAGGATGAGGAGATGGAGTATTGGTCTACAGATCATTGTTCGGAAAATGGCTTTGACGGCTCCAGCCATGAGTTCCGGCAGTGTTTCTATCCTCAGGTTTTTAAAAATGTTGGGGGGGATGAAGATGCTGACGTGGAAGCTAGACGCGTGATGGAAAATGAATTGGCTTCTGACTATGAAGACATAAGGAGGGGGATTTCAAAAGGACTTGTTGAAGAATGCAACCATGAGCCCTTTGACAACTCCCAATACGTGTGCATGGAGGACACGACAAAGATTGTGGAAGAAAGTGTCGAGGGGCTCTTATATGACAATAGCGAACTGGCGGCTGGTAGCAGGGGACAAAACAATAATCATTTAGGTTTACCAAGCTGTAGATCTAATTTAAATTCTGGTGGCGAGTTGGGTCCAATTAACGGTGTGGGTCTGGGCCCGTCAATGGGCTTGAGACATGACCAAGGCGATTCCGATTCAGCCCAAGGAGGCCTAAATGACCATTCTTACCCATCTCCATTGACTAGGCCTGAAAATATCTGGAGGACAGGAGCGCGCAAGGTTTCCATAACAGAAGCTCTGAATGAAGAGGGGGATTGCGAGTCTTTCTAGGACCGGGGTTTGAAAGTGATTCGGGGCCTTTGGCAGATTGGATAAGCAGGTACGAGAAAATGAAAGGAAAACGAAGGAAGAACAGGAAGAAGAAGTCAAGATCTTGCAGGTTACTTTATCAAGACACAGCCAGCACAAAGGAACGGGAGGTGAGGAAAGAGAAACGTGGTCGGCCAAAGAAGACATTGATTATGGAGCAACAACTGGGAAATTTTTTCCTAATCCTGATAAACCAGTTTCCGGAGAGTTAATCTCAGATGGTGCCATCGTCAATTGTAACAGAGGGGTTGCCACAATTTCACGTTTGTATTTGGCTGAAGAGATTTGGCAGTGTGCAAAGAAAGTGCGGGTGGTTGCTGTAGGAAATGAACAGGAAGTATCCAACGCATGGAGGATAGGGATAAAGCAGCTATGCTTCAGAGGATGGAGAAGGGCGGTGCAAGAGGAAGGAAGATGAGTAGAACTGTACCATGATTTTGCTATCTTACAATATAAGAAAGATAGGGGGAATTGGGAAGAGGAGGGAATTTAGGGATTTGGTGAGGAAGGAAAAAGTAGATTTTTTGGCAATTCAGGAGACTAAAAGTGAGACAGTTGATTGGAGGCTTTGTATAGCTCTATGGGGCTCTAATGATATTGATTTTGTGGCTCAGTCATCTAGAGGACAGTCAGGAGGTCTGGTTTGTACTTGGGACAAAAATGTTTCGAGAAATTGTAGCGTATTGGAGGGGGAGAATTTTATAGGTGTCTCTGGCCTTTGGGTTGAGGAGGGTGATGTGGTGAATTTAATAAATGTATATGTTCCTAGTGATTCAACAGCTAGAAGAAATTTATGGGAGGAACTCAAAAAACTAATCAGTGAAAGGAGTGGGTGTTGGTGCTTAATGGGTGATTTTAATAACATACAAAATCAGTATGAACGAACTGGGGACAGAGGCTTTCAAGTGGAATGCGTGATTTTGTCAATTTCATTAGAGACCTGGAACTGGTGGATCTTCCATTGATTGGGAGAAAATATACTTGGTATCAGTCAATGGTGCGGCTATGTGCAGGCTCGACAGGTACCTACATTCTGTAGAATGGAAGAATAAATGGAGTGAGTCGAGACCATGGGGTTTTAAACGATCCATATCTCATCACACTCTAATTTTGCTCAAAGACCAGTGTGTGAACTGGGGACCTAAGCCTTTTAAATGCTCTGATGAGTGGATGTTACATAAGGATTTTAGTGGTGTGGTTGAGGAAACATGGTGATTATCGGATATTCAAGGGTGGAAAGGCTTTGTGTTGAAAGAAAAACTGAAGCAAGTTAAGAAGAAATTGAAGGCATGGAGAGCTCCAAGGAGTACTCTCATGTAGACCAAAAAATAGAGGAGGCACAGGAGTGAATTGCACGTTTAGATGAAAAGGAGCGGGATATGCAGTTGACAAGCCTAGAAATTGAGGTACGGACCCAACTTTTTCTGAAGCTGTTGAATAATATGAAGATCAAAGAAGGAATGGGGAGACAGAAGGCAAGGAAGGCATGGCTAAAAGATGGTGATGCAAACTCCAAATATTTTCGTCAGTTATCAAAAGTAGACAGCATCTCAAAGAGATTAATAGCATTCAGATAAATGGACAACAGCTAGTTGGAGTGCACGAAATTAAGGAAGGAGTAGCAGAATACTTTCAGAGCCTAATTTCAGAAGAGAATTGTGAGAGACCTGTGCTAGAAGGTGCGGCTGTTAAACATATCTCTTCAGAACGATCCTCTATGCTTACTGCACCGTTTTCTTTAGAGGAAGTAAAAAAAAGCGGTGTGGGACTGTCAAGGCTCTAAGGCTCCAGGTCCAGATGGCTTCAATTTCTGGTTCTTTAAAGAGATGTGAGATTTGATAAAGGAGGATGTAGTTGGTTTTGTACAAGAATTTCATGAGAATGAGAAGTTGGTGGCAGGCTCTAATTCATCTTTCATAACATTGATCCCTAAAACTAGTAATCTACAGATGATTGAAGAGTACAGGTCTATCTCTCTGATTGGAGTTACGTATAAGGTTGTCACAAAACTATTGGCAAATAGACTTCAATTGGTTATGCCAGCTATTATTGGGGACCATCAACTGGCCTTTGCGGAGGGTAGGCAATTAATGGAAGCTGTTGTGATGACAAATGAAATTATCTACGGTGCAAAAAGATGCAAGAGTGCTAGTTTCATTTTTAAAATTGACTTTGAGAAAGCATACAATAAGGTGACTTGGAGTTTTCTTGATTATATGATGAGAAGAATGGGTTTCAATGAAACTTGGAGGGCATCGATCAGGGAATGTCTCAGTACTAGCAGATTCTCTGTACTGTTTAATGGAAGCCCAACGAGGGAATTTGTAGTAAGTTCATGGCTTAAAACAAGGTGATCCACTTTCTTCATTTTTATTCTTGATTGTTGCTGAGGGGTTGAATGGCCTCATCCACTCAGCTGTTGAGAAGATGATGCTGCAAGGTATTGAAATCGGCAGCAACGGTGCAGAATTTTGTCATATTCAGTTTGTAGATTATACAATCTTGTTTGGCAAGGCCACGAAAAGCAATGTATGGGAGGCCAAGTGTATTTTGAAAATTTTTGAGATGGTTTCTGGCCTAAAAATTAATTATTCAAAAGTCAGCTGTTTGGGATTCATGTTGATGAAGACTAGAGAATAAAGGCCTGTGTACTTAATTGCTCTACCGAAGTGCTAACCTTTAATTACTTAGAGGTACCGGTGGGGGATAACCACAGAAGATTAGAAAATTGGCTTCCATTGGTAGACTATTTCAAGAAGAAATCACCTGCTTCGAAAGGTCTGTGGTCTTCCCTTGTGGATAGAATAACTTTACTGAACTCTGCGCTCACATTGTCGCCTTTGAGAAAAATTAGAAGGGAGTTCTTGTGGGGAGGTTGTGAAGAGGTTAGGAAAGTCCATTGGGTTAGACGGAAGGGGGTTTGTAAACGAAAAGAGGAGGGTGGGCTAGGGCTTAAAGATTTAAGATTATTCAACCTTTCACCATTAGGCAAATGGTGGGAGAAAGTGGCAAAAGGAGAGAAGTGTTTATGGGGTAAGTTCATAAAAGAAAAGTATAGGAATGGTAATGGAAATTGGTTGTCATGTTAAGGGAAGGTAGAGTAGTAGGTTCAAATTGGTGGCGTGATATCTCTAGATTAGATGAACTGGAAGAGAGTGAAAGGGGGTGGTTAAAAAATGGGTTTTGAGGTCCTGGTTGGTGATGGGGATGAATTGAATTTTTGGCGTGATGAGTGGTGCAGAGAAGGAATTTTAGCTAACATTTTCCCAAGGCTATTTCTTCTTTCTGCAGGGAAGAATTGTACAATCAAAGAAATGGGCTCGTGGCAAGATGGACAATGGCATTGGAACCTAAGATGGAGGCGGGAGCTGCTGTCTTGGGAACTAATTGAAAAAGAAAAGTTGGAAGAGTTGCTTGGTACGGTGCAGGTTCGACAAGGCCAAAAAGATAGGTGGATTTGGAGACATAATAAAGATGGTTTTTACTCGGCCAAATCTTGGTACCCTGTGC